GTGATGACATGACCACAGCAGAGCATTATTTAATTGTTGATATGTTCTGGATTACCAGTGACCTGCTTTACTCAAGCAATGGGGTTCATTGTGAACATTGGCCTGATCAACCAATGTTTACAGGCATGAAGCCTGTTTACGCTTTGGGGAACAAGTCTATTGAAATCCAAAGGACATTGCAATATAATAGTTTTGTCCCTGCTTCTGTTTAAATGAGGTGGACGAACTTGTGACCCCCTGGGGGGTGAGTGCCACGAAGGACAAGAGCTCTGTCCATTTGCTTCATCGAAGTGTTTCCCTACTACTGACTGTAGGTTCCCCTCATACCCCCAGTTCCACTTTCAAGCAACTGTCCCAGCTTGTGACCCCATCCACTGCAATGGATGTGCCCATGAAGTTTGAATCCTACCTCGCCTCCCTAACTGCCTTTGTACCAAAAGGGCAATGGTGACTGAAGTTGAATCATTCTCAGTACAAATGTTATGAGATATTATCTGAATCCTTCCAATTGGAAACTGTTTGTGAAAGGATATATCTTGAAGATACGTTTGATTGATTCAATCTCATTTGACAACCCTTTACTTTTCGGCCAATTCATATCACATGTGTGATATTCAAAATTTATTATTGTACTATGTGAATAACCAGTCTTATTTCCAGGACTGTAACACTTTTATTCCAGCCCAGCATGAACCAAGTGATGACCTTCAACCTAATGAACATTGTGAAATATGCTATATAAAAGTAATCTGAACAGATGAACACTATCATGATTGCTGTAAGATTAAAGTGACTTATTTGGTGTAGCCAATGAAGCGACGATATTGGGAGCCACTCTTATATTGACATTGAGAATTAAAGCTTATGAACAGAGACATGTACCCTATACTTATAAGAATTGATTCTGCAGCTTTGTGATGACTCAGCATTTTGAGGAAGAACACAAAGAATGGCTGACAATCTCAATTTTATATTGTACTAGAGACCATGCCAATACTAAACATATTCCCCTATTATATTGGGGAACCAGTGACAATGACTGTATCATCAATGAATGTGATGGTAAGAACGATTGATAAACTTAGTGCAGACAGTATGGATTTTACTTGAAACCTTCACAAGAACCATGACCTACAAGAGAAAGATGAAAGACACTGATGCTGCTAGAGACATTTTTGTAATTAAACGTGATTGTTTATTAGATTATGCTAGCCTTTTTATGTTATGTATTTCAGGTGAGAAATTGCAAATGATGTGTGAAATGCTTATTTTAGGTAATGTGTTTATATATGATTTTGCATCTTTAAAATTCCATAGTTCGAGGACGAACTGTTTTTAAAGGGGGAGCAGTGTGACGATCCTTCAGATTACTTTGAGCATGGTAATGGAATTGCCTTGAAGGATTGTCACTTTGTTTTCAACTTTTTGCTCTTCACTTTATCAATTGTGTTTTTAGTTACTCAATATTTCAAGAGTTATAAAATAATTTAAATTCTGTAAAAGGGTAGTCTGTATAACTACTTTGGCTATACTCTTAAAGTATGGTTAAAGTTTAATCATTTTACTCTATATTCATATTTAGGTTAATAACCTTCTCCTGTGTTTTTCATGTAATATTATTTACAGGATTAATGTCAACATATATATTTTGTTCATAATAAGAGTTTAATGTGAAGGTTTTCGGCCCAGTTTAATGTTATGTTACAAACTTTTTAGAAAGGGCAGTTGTCTGGGTTTGTTTTCAAAATCCAAAGTGAGGCTTATTAAGCTTGATTTAAGTAAATAAGCACGTTTTAAGTGAATTGTCTTTTTCTGTGCTTTTATGATTCGAATTCAAGCCGGCCAGACATGGAAAACATTTTGTGGAATTTTAAACATTAAATCGTCACTAAAATTGGATATTTATATTGCTGCAGATAAACCAACTTAGGTGTACGAGTTGGTAAAGGTAATTGACTTGATCTAATTGTATTTTTGCAGAGTTTTAGTCTTTGAAAAGAAGTATCTGTACACTTGATTTTTTCCTTAATTTTATTTATTTGCCTTGTGAACATCCCATGTTTAAATTGTCCCAGGGATTGTTAAGGAACATTTGACAAGGTTAACGCAAAGTTACACGCAGAGTTTTTGTCTTAAAGAACCTATGTAACTTATTAACCAGCGTCGAAAGCAAGTTCCCGGAGTTCTTTATGAAACCTTCCATACAACATCCCCACAGGGAATCGTTTAGGAATATTTGACAAGGTGTACGAAAAGTTACGGTCTTTACGAACCTAATGTAACTTGCTCTAAACCAGAGTCAACTGCAAATTCCAGGGGTTCATAGACATCTCTATACGACATTCCCCCCCCCCCATCCAGTTTGGGACTGTATTTAGTTTGTTCACAGGGTAAATTTTATTGATACACTAGAAATACTCCTTTGTATATTTGTATGTTAAATTCTGGGTAATTTAAAGGTGAAATCCCGGGCTTATGGGACCATTATCAAACATCATTGAAGTACTTTTAAGGGTCATGGTCATTCGAACCCCATTTTCGGACTTAAGACACCCCCTCCCCTTCTAGTTTTCCATGTCTGGTCTAATTCTATGTTAACCACATTCTAATTCATTATAGATACTAGAATACTTTAAAATACTGTTTCCCATTTGTTTGCCAATTGTACCATAGTCTGATAGTGGCAAAATGATGTCCCACTTTTCATGTGAGTAGTATAGGGAGCTTATTTCAACCCCCCCCCCCCCCAGGGATGATATAAAATTGCACTGTTAAGTTACATTTTTGGAAAAAGACCCATTTTAGGCTTTATTGCAAATTGTTTAACTGAACTTCCATTAGCTGTGCTGTTTTATGCATGTTTGGTTTGAGAGATTATATACTTGATATTACCATCTCGACAGTAGTGAATTGTGTAATGTTTGTGTAGATTAATAAATAGAAATAGAGTCGTTTTTATACATTATATAAAGATCCACAGAATATCACTTGTTGTGTTCGATTGTTTTTTATATATATGTTAGAAAATCCCCCCCCCTCATTTTATCTGAAGTATATTCTGGATTCAAAATAGATTCCGACTAAATTCCAGGTGACTTTAGTGATACTAACATTCAAGCAACAAGCTTTATCTTAGCTCATATTTGCTAAGGGCTTCTTTGAATAACAATCACTCACAATAAGTCATACATATATTTTCCCAGAAACTATGCAATAGTGCAGAGCTAAAGTACAATCCAGGATCTTACTTTCTTATTTAACCCTTCTCTTATTGATAATATTAGTGAGAATTTCATTCACCCTGGTTCCAAGTTGTTACCCCAAACATCAGTTATTTCCAATGTTTTATTACTTGCTTGTTTAAATGGTGTACAAGTAATATTATCCCATGATGAGTTTGACAGACTCCTGATTTGAAATAGCCCAACTTTAATTCTTACAAACTTTCCCACTTTTATTGTGACCAGAGAGCTTAATATACAGCTTGAAGTCCATCGTAGCACTCTAGTGGCTAGGACTTCCACCTGGTTATACTCACACCCTAACATTATACTTATTTGATACAACTGAACACTGGGCACATTCAGAATCTGGAGTCTGTTGCCATTTGCCTTTATGAGACATACAACTTACATTGAAAACTGACAAATCTTACTTAGTCTATATTCAGATTTTGTTATCCCGTAATTGTTATCCCAAAATTGTCCCACTTCATCCCAATTATTTTTATCCCAGAATTTATCCCTAAATTTTTATCCCTAAATTTATCCCTAATTTATCCCTAAATTTTCATCGCAAAATTTATCCCAATTTGATCCCATTTTGTTATGATACTGTGAACACGGATGTTGTTCAATTAAATAGGGATACACATTTCAACTTTTACTTGAACTTGTCCCGAAACTAAGTTAATTAAAATATCAAATCAAACTATTGATTCTTAGACTGTATTCTGTTTACGACCCCCAAACCACGCTACCACACGAGGGTCGCGACAATACCAATCTTTCTTTTTATTCAATACTCTATCTACACATGAAAGATCATGAAGATTCTTTAATTATTGAGAAGTTATTCCAAAATTAGTACTGGTACTGGTGGCTGGCCGATGAGTATTTTGTTCAAAATTGCATTCAGTTTTGAACAAAATACTCATCAGCCGGGCGCCGGTGTTGAAGATGGGAGAAAATCTGGCCACGGCATAAAGAATCGACGAGTATAGAAATCGGAAATAGGGTAGTATTGTGATTATGTTCTCGCTTGACTACCAGAGAACTTGCAGACTCTGTGATTTGGATGAAGTTGAAAATGAAATTCATTTTCTGATAAAATGTCCACACTATAAGCTCCTAAGGGATACCTTCTATAGAGAGATTGTGCAAGAGCAATTGCCATATATAGACTTGAATAATGCAAATTCACTTTTGACATTTATTAGCCTAATGCTTGCCAAGAAGATTCAAAAACCTCTAGCAGCTCTTATTCATAATATGTATTCAAAAAGGCAATTTGACTATGGCAGATTATAGGAGTTACATTTGTGAAGTCCAGACTTGGTTAAAACTGATACTTTTTAGAATTAAAGATATAACTGGGCAGCAGGTGTGTGTCCCCAATCTGTTATAGTCATTTTCCAGCACTTGACTACAAAATTTATTGTATCAATACAGTTTATTTATGCATGCATATTCATTTATTGTGATAATGGCCATTAATAGAAAATATTTGTCAAAGCATTTAAAGATGGCAGCATTGAATACTACTCTATCTAAAAGTGCTCTATTAAGTCAACTTTACTCTAGTCAATATTTCAATTACAATTAGATATACATTTAATGGTGTCTCCTAAGCCGATGCCGGCTGGTGGGTTTTTTAAAAAAAAGTATTTATTATATGATATTGAATGTAGTTTTTAAACCTGTGACACAGAAATAAAATATTTTAAACTAAACTATTTAAGGTAGTTCTAGAGTATTTTAAACTGATTTTTGTTTCTTTAGGTCGAGCAAATGATACCTTCAGAGTTCAAGTACTGGCAGAAGGCGCCGACGTCATTTTTCAAGACTACACAGACAAAGTTAAATATATGAAGAAACTCATGCTCCAGGGACTCAAGATGTACGGCGAGGAACGTTCGAATATAGTCAAGATCACCCAAAGTGAGGTCAACTTGTGTATGGATAAATTTGCCGCTGAAAACAACGAGCCGTTTTATTATGACGACGCTGTTGAAACGATGATTTTGAAAATCCTTGCAGAAGTAGTAAGTCGCCAATTTTCTTTCGAAACGATTTTTCATTTGATTCATGATAAAAATCGCATACATTTTGGACCATCTTTGGAAGGGAATGCATAGAACAAGCTTTTATAAATAGAACATAAATAATTTAATTAGGCGACGGGACAGTAGTGTTATGATCCCCTCTATTAAAGTCAGTGGTGAGATCTTAACTTTACAATGTTTGATAGACTGCCAAAATATGAATATAAATAATAAGTAATAACGCGAATTAATTATATTATATATACATGATTACTTATATTACTACTATTAGTAATATTATATATGGCGAACCCCCTGGCGACGGACCTGCATGTTTATATCGTCCTCACTGGCGGATCCAGGTGGCATGGTGAAAAGTTTTTTAGGGCCCCAAAAATCTTGTAGAGCCTCAAAAATGGGTCTTTAGGGCATAAATTGGACTTTTGGGCCTTTTTAGGCCAAATTGTCCAAATAGGGGCTTAATTTTTCAAAAGTTTGGCCCAATTTCTGGTTTTAGGGGCTTCGGCGCAGGCGCGTACATTTTCCTGACTTTCCTGTGGATCCCCCTCCTTGTAAGCTTCTGGATCAGCCAGCGGTCCTGACCGAACCATAACAATTGGATAATAGTTCTTAGTTTCATGAAAAGGTGAATAAACTAATTTACTGATAAAACAGAAATTTAGTTTTTACTTTTTTGTTATTAGATAGCTGGAGTTCAGTTTAAGGACGAGCACCCTTACATCAAACAAATTGCCGAGGTGCAAGCTAAGGCTGGAAGAGTAATGTCAGCAGGCAATGGAGTAGAGCTTGACATGTTCCCATGGCTACGCTTTTTCGGAAATCAAAACTATAAAATACTGACGGAGGCGTGTAAAACAAGAAACATTGTTTTGGCGGATATGCGGAAAGAATGTGAGGTAATAATAAAATTGATATTTGAACCAGGTGCTGATGGGAAAAGACAAAAAAGGTTTACCACAGTTAAGAAAATGAAACATCTAAAGAGATATTTGATTTGTAGCAATTAAGTTTCATTGTATACCTAGTGTGAAGTGATTATTACACATCCAACCCGGAATCCATTTCCAGTGCTGCTCCAGGACACAATTTTATTCTTTACTATACATTTTGATTTTTCCAAACTTCGATTTCCTCAACATACGATACAATTTGAATTTACCATAAATAAAGTTTTCTTATCGTACATAACTTTACTTCTTTACACTACAGGAAGTGTAAGTTGTCACTCGTTAGTTCGCGTAGTTTTATCTTCAGTTGATCGCCCGTAGTAATGCATTACGTTTTGTTTTTTAAACCCTTTGTTGGTCAATTAGATAAAAAAAAAGTTATTTTTACCACTAAACAACATCATAGGTATAAATCGTTTATCGTGCCACATTATCCCTCGGTTCTCAGAGATCAATGGGCCTCCCAAGGTCGGATCATATATCATTGAAAACCTTGGGCATATATGCTGAGATGCTTAACCATATATTACATTATTGACCATGCGTTGGGTAATATTCTCTGCCACAGTAATGACATACTCTATCGAACATAGTATTCATTACATTATCATGTATATTTTGTATTTTGCCCCATGTGTATGTTGAGGTTGAAGTAATATTGTTTATGTTCGGAATGCCTTTAACTTTATCCGGTAAAAATGTTATTAAACATTACTGAGAATTGAAAAAGTCATCAGGATAGAATAGGGGGATGAATTGTGCTGTCCCGGCTACTAAGTACTTAATTTTAAAATATTGTAGAAATCCATTGAATCTAACCACAGCGTCATGGGAGTATTCATAAAAGCCCAAAGAGACCCCTTAACACCGCACCAAATATCAGATTCTAACATCATTACGGCGTCGGCGAATCTCATTGGTGCAGGATTAACCACGACAAAAGGCACAATCTCTGGGTTATTTCTGCTACTAATGAGGCATCCAGATATACAGACAAAGCTTCAAGAAGAAGTTGACCAAGTTGTCGGCAAAGACCGGAATCCGAGTGTTGACGATAAAGAAAACATGCCGTACCTTCAAGCGACGCTTATCGAAGTGTTACGTTATTTGTCACATGTGCCAATTTCGGTACCCCATAAAACTTTGGTAGACACGAGTGTTGCAGGATATGATGTTCCAAAGGGAACACAGGTAAAACTCACACACTAACTAAAAGAACTGTGTAACCATTTAGATTAAACATAGTTCCCTTTGGAAAAGAAACCAAACGATCGTTTTTTAGTTTTAATGATTTCATAGAAATGTATTTCAAGTCAAAAGGATTAAGCTTTACCCACAGTTAGTATTTAATAATTTCATGTTCTTATCTTTTCGAATTCGAAGGTTTGGACGAACATATTTGCGATGCACCACGATCCCTCATTGTTTCCTGATCCTTGGCAGTTTAAGCCAGAACGTTGGTTGGATGATGATGGTTATCTGGTATCTCTGGAGGAACGAAATAAGTGAGTAATTACCTACCGATTGTATTGTTCTAGATTGTATTGATCCTTTTTTCAAAGTCAGTTTTTATCTGTGATTCTTTGTGCTACAGAATTGACAATGCAATTTAAATTACACACGTCGACGACTAAGTCATCACTTTTTGTTGAACATACTTGTAAAAACCATAGTTACCCAACCTCAACATCATAAATAATGATTTTTAACATTAGGGATTTTAAGCTTGCAATATTTAACACAACCTCAACGTGAATGGAAAATATTTAAGCAATGCATTTGTATGGGCGATCGGTCATACGTATAGGTCGTCGTTTCGATTTTATATGCAAGCTTAAATTCCCTAATATACAGAAATAGCGAGAACGTAAAAGTTTGTATGTACTCGAATCATTGAATGAGACGAATTTTATTCATATTTATTTTAGAGCTATCTCATTTGGAGCTGGTCGACGTGTTTGTGTCGGGGAACAGTTTGCAAGAACCAGATTATTCCTGTTTTGTGCTACATTGTTGCAGAAATTTACGATCAGTCCACCAGATGACTCTCAAAGTCCGTCACCTGATCCACGTGACTTTCCTCTCGGAATTGTACTCCACCCTGTGCCATTTCAAATCAAGGCAATAGCGAGACAATAAAACAAAGCATGGGATCTAAGTATATGGATATACTACATCCTTGACACAGACGATATTTTAGGGTCTCTTAGGTTTTGGACGATAAACTCAAAACAATAAGCCATTATTACAAAATAGCCCTGGTATCGTAATTGAACCTAACTGAATGGGAGGACAAGTTTTAGAGAAATTGTACGGGAACGTGAATACGATGTTGACGCCCTCTTAAACCCCTCTTAATTTAGACGTCTTTTCAATGAAAACGTTGAAAACAGTGATATTTTGCCCCTGAGCATGTAACACCATTACTAAAGAATATGGTTCCAGAAGTTGTATGTTTCTAATAAGACGTATTTATTTTTTGGCACTTGTATATCACTTTGACCTGGAAATTTACGAGATAAGGTTAATGTAAGCAGAATTTATTACAGCATATATGAGTCTGTTAAAAAGGGTTACAATAACCTTTTCAAGAACCTAGTCACTGCATTGTGGAAATGTAGAATTTACGAATAAAACCTAAAATGTTAACCTTCATTCTTCTAGGCTGTTTTGCTTTTTTAGTGTGTTTGTTTATCAAAACATAGTACAAATGAGAAATCAAGGATTATCGCAAAGATCCCGGGACCTAAAGGGATACCAATATTTGGAAATGCTCTTCAAGTTGATTTTGAACATGTTCACAAAGATTTACTGAAATGAACTGAGGAGTATGGTCCAATCTTCAAGTTGAACTTTGCTGGGAACTTGGTTGTTGTACTTAACAGCTACGATTTCATCTACGAAGCTTTAGTCACAAAATCAACGGATTTTGCAGGTGAGATCATCAGTTACATCATCGTGAAATCAATGGTTCAAAATCCGTATCTGATTTTTGTAAGAAATAAAACCAGACCATATGTATTATTAAGTCAACAAATTATGACATTTCGGAATATAAAAATTGTATTGTATAACATAATTAAGCCCATCGACATCAAAAATTTAAACAATACATACTAAAGTAACGGCACATCAGGCCAGATATAAGCCATTGAAAAGAGTAGATAGGCTGATTGGTCGTTACACTAATCTTCTCGTCAGATTTCTATGACTTTGACTGTCTGTGACAGTGCATAATGATGAGATTATAATTCGCCTGAATAATAGGCTTACTTTGTACGTTTATCGAAGTTTGTACGCTTATCGACGTTTTACGTTATTTGTCACACGTGCCAATTGCTATACCCCATAAAACTTTGGTAGACACGAGTGTTGCAGGCTATGATGTTCTAAAGAGTACACAGGTAATACTCGTACGATATGTTCTAAAGCATGAACTGTGTAAACATATATTCGGACTAACATAATTCCCGTAGAATTCGGGAGAAGCAGAACGACTTAAAGGAATTTCAAAACGGAAGGATATTCCACTACATACAGTCAGAATTTTAACGATTTTATTTTCTTAATTATTTTTTTAAGGTTTGGACGAACATATTTGCGATGCACCACGATCCCTCGTTGTTTCCCGATCCTTGGCAGTTTAAGCCAGAACGTTGGTTGGATGATGACGGTAAACTGGTTTCTTTTGAGGAAAGAAACAAGTGAGAGTGATTACTTACTCCATTAGGAATAGTAGACACAACTCATGCAAATTGACCTTTTTCAATATAAATGGAAAAATAGATGGCATCATGGGTATTGGTAGGGCTAGGGTTAGGCTAAAATACATGTAAATGTATTGCCAGAGTCACTTAATTTCTTGATTCAAAAGGTAATTCCATTTGGATCAACTTACATCTATTAAAAACGAGACTTTAGCGAGCTCTTAAAGCTATGGAAAAGGACCATTGAGGGGAAAGTAAGGACTAAACACAAATTATGTTCCCAACGACAAGTCGTGCTAATATTTGGCACATTAGTCCAGAATTGAAATAGCTTTATTTTTTATACATAAATTTATTCCTTTAGTTAACAATAATATAAAAGCAATTGATTGTCAAAGTTTTATAAAAAACTTTAGCGGCAATTTTAGCTCTATAGAATTTGGAGCCATGAGGTTAAGAATTGACTCCCGGGGATTGACTGTGGATAGGGGGACAGTCATTATGAAAACCCTGTACACTCTGATGCCAAATTATATACTTTGATGACTAGCCCTGTATACACTGGAAATTGCGTTTCAATCGTTCTATATTGTATTGACCATTTTTCAAAGTAAGTTTTTACTAGTATCTGCGACTTTTTAAGCTATAGATTTGACAGTACACTGACGCCATCCAAATTATACACGCACGTTTACGACGCAGTCATCGCTTTCTGTTGCATAAACATGTTAAAATCACAGTAACACATCAGCCCAATATCTGTAAACAATAACGTTATTCTCTGATTGATTCTTATACTAGATATGGTATATAGAAATACCGAAAGGTAAAAGTTTCTTATTTATATACTCGAATCATTGAATGAGTAACAAATTGTATCCATTATATTTATTTTAGAGCTATGCATTTGGAGCTGGCCGACGTGTGTGTTGGGGAACAATTTGCCAGAACCAGATTATTTCTGTTCAGTGCTACATTGTTGCAGGAATCCACGATTTGTCCACCAGATGACTCTCAAAGTCCGTCACCTGACCCACGTGACTTTTCTCTCGGAATTGTACTCCATCCTGGGACATTCAGAATCAAAGCAATAGCGAGACAATAAAGCAAATCGTGAGGTATAAGTAATGGATATAAGTGGTTCACATGGAAAATTAAAACATCCTTGTATGGTGTTTTGTATCAAAATTCGATACAATATCATATGCGAAAATTTCTTGAAAGCCCATGCTTAAATCGAATAAATATTTTCAAAAAATCACAAAAATGCAACTTAAACTCAAATATGTACTAAATCGATAAATTAGTAATGTTAAATAGAATCTTGAATCAAACATATGCAGTATGTGCATCGCATATACTTTCGATTTGCAAACTTTTGCATGATGGTAGAAAACAACCTACTTTTTCACCCATTGAAATACATGTAAAATTGACAAAGTTCAAATCACAATTTCTCAAATCCCAGCCCATCGAATGCTCGCATTCATTCAGATCATGTAGTCCTATTCAAAAACTTCCCGTTTGGTTATATGGTCAGAAAAATATCTCACGAACGAAAAAAGATTTTGCTACATTTATAAGCGAGCATTGATTTTGGGGTCTGTAAAAACTACGTAGGACCTGATTATCCCATTGATTTACTGAGACCGCCAAAAAAATAATTCAATTTTTCGGTTCAAAATTATAATCTGTCAGCGCTCCTTGACACGTCTACTAGTTAGTACCAAACATTAATTGTCAATACAAGTACAAATATACGTGCCATACGTCTACAAAGAAGCAAACTAGTGTTTTAAGTACTACTTTTCCCACTTGTCCTTTTTCAGGACGACCTTGTGTGCAGGGACATTATCCCAGTGAAGACATAGATCTTTGTATAACTTTTAATGTAATTTTTAAAGACTTCGTTACTTTTGGATGACATTCTCTTAACAACAATAAATAATTTCTACAAAATCAGTAACGTAATCTACAGGCATCAAATTAAGAAGTGAAATATTCCTTATCACTAGGACGACCTGCTTAATAAACTGACTTTGTCAACAACAACAAAATCGTCAAAAAGGTCACTGGAAAACTATCAACTATTGACCTAAAAAAACTTCCATGAACTGTCAATGACGAACCGGAAATGCATGTTTTCTTTACTTTGTTGGACAAGCATAGCTTATTAAATTTCTAATAAGGTCTGGAATGACAATTTTTCTTTGTTTCATTCATATATATCTATATTTGAATTTGAATTCAAAAATTTGAATTCAACCATGTTTCTTTTTTCTATCTCTTTCAATCCTCCAAAAATCCATTACTTGTTCATTTATTGATTATTCCGTCTTATCTTGCCTTGTTTTGCTCATTATTTACCCTGTGACAACGGCTATATTTTTCACATTAAAGGAGGATTGAAATTAGCGCAACTGATTTTGGACAGTCATATGTATAAGTGATTCCTTCAGGGGTTTTAAAAATATCCTTTATGGGTGACCAAAATTGGCTGAAAGCAATGGATCGCATGAGTTTTTCCTATGGGAAAATAACATTGGAAATATTGTTTACCACTTTATCTAAAAGGAATCACTTATTCCTTTTAAGGGATTAACTGTGTGTCAAAACGCAACGTATTGATGCAAGAAAAAGGAGTTGAAAATCAGGAAAACATTTCAGAAAAAACATGTGGGTGGGTTGTTTACATCTACCCTGTCTCAAAGTCGAAATTATTTTATCATCTCTTTCCTGACGGTAATGCATTGGCCTAACGTATGCATCTGTTTAAATCCCCAGAAAAAAGGCCAAAATCCAACATATGACTGTCCAAAATATGTTGCGCTAATTTCCCTCCTCCTTTTGCATGCTCGTCAGTTCTGATTTTTTCAGATATGGATTACGCATTGTAGAACCATTTCTTTTAACCTAATTCGTCTTGATAATTTTCCAACGTTCAATTTTTAGTGAGCTCGTAACTTCGAGTAATTGGTGATTTAATATAGTGGAAGTATAGTTAGAGTATGGTGATTTAGGAAACTGAACGGTTTTGCTTTTACTCTGGACAATTAAGATATACATATTTAGTGTTATTGTGTTTTATAATATATAGCAGTGTACTGAACACACCTGGTTAAAACCAGTTAATGAACAGCTTACATAAAGAATCACTACAAGTGTTACTATAAATTAGATATAAATCCAATGGATGAACATGTTTTAAATTCTTATGAAAAAATAAAGGTAATAGTGTTATCTCACTGATTCTATACCCATTGTAAAACAAAATCAACCCAAGAATATGGTTACGGGCAATTCCATTTCTTTGCCAAAATTGTGTACTTTTCTTTTAAATATCATTTTTCTGGGGTTTAAGAATATATTCACATTCAATATTCTAACAATATCATCCTATATTCATTGGATGCAATCCAATGAGACCTGCTTTTTATACCATCCTATGTGTGTTTTTCACTTCGTTAATATATTGAGGCTGACTGTATAGTTGAATGGTTCCGCAGGCATAAGCCGCTCTTGTTTATGCCTCACTATTTAAAATTCAACACGTTTGAAATTAGAGTTGAATTATTTTATTTCCGGTTGATATAACGTCTTAGCGTTAGTGAAATCGAACGCGATTTCAACTGATTGGATAACATGATGTGATCATGAGTAGGTTATGTGAGTGGATGCACGATGGGATCGTGTTATTCTGCGAGTAGCAACCGAAGCGTTTATACACAGTTTTAGTTAATGTTGTAAGTTGTCATACAACCGATTCGAAAATTTAGTTTTATTGTTCGAGGAGGCATACCTTTTTCCCTTTCGAAAGTCACAAAGATTTTGATCTGGGTTTTAAGGTGTCAGGTCGATAAACTAAAGTTTTTCATATTGAAGTCAACGAACACTTTCTTTAGTGCTATTGACCAAATCAACGTTTTTGAATGAAGTATACGTGTT